GAGAGAGACATAGAGGAGAAGAGAGAAAGAGACAGAGGAGGAGGAGAGAGGAGAGGGAGAGAGAGACATAGAGGAGAAGAGAGAAAGAGACAGAGGAGGAGGAGAGAGGAGAGGGAGAGAGAGACATAGAGGAGGACAGAGGGAGAGAGAGACATAGAGGAGGAGGAGGAGAGAGAGAGAGGGAGGGAGAGAGAGACATAGAGGAGGAGAGGGAGAGAGAGAAGAGGGAGAGAGAGACATAGAGGAGGAGAGGGAGAGAGAGAAGAGAGGGAGAGAGACATAGAGAAGAGAGGGAGAGATACATAGAGGAGAAGAGAGGGAGAGAGACATAGAGGAGGACCGAGGGAGAGAGAGACATAGAGGAGAAGAGGGAGAGAGACATAGAGGAGGAGAGAGAGAGATAGAGGAGGAGAGGGGGAGAGAGACATAGAGGAGAAGAGAGGGGGGAGAGAGAGAGAGAGAGAGAGACAGAGGAGGAGAGGGAGAGAGAGACATAGAGGAGGAGAGAGAGACATAGAGAAGAAGAGAGGGAGAGAGACATAGAGAAGAAGAGAGGGAGAGAGACATAGAGAAGAAGAGAGGGAGAGAGACATAGAGGAGGAGAGAGGGAGAGAGACATAGAGGAGGAGAGAGAGAGAGAGAGAGAGAGAGAGAGAGAGAGACATAGAGAAGAAGAGAGGGAGAGAGAAGCAGAGGAGAAGAGAGGGCTAGAGACATAGAGGAGGAGAGAGGGAGAGACATAGAGGAGGAGAGGGAGAGAGAGACATAGAGAAGAAGAGAGGGAGAGAGACATAGAGGAGAAGAGAGGAAGAGAGACATAGAGGAGGAGAGAGGGAGAGAGACATAGAGGAGGAGAGAGGGAGAGAGACACAGAGGAGAAGAGAGGGAGATAGAAGAGGAGAGAGGGATGGAGGAGAAAGAGGGGAAAAGGAAAGAGATAGGAGGGAGAGCGATATTGATGAAATAAAGCACAGAAAGGGAGAGATAGAGGGGGATAGAGACACACAGGAAAGATAGATACATATAGAAAGGAGAGAGATACATATGTGTATATATAGAGAAAGATGAAAGATACACATAGAAAGAAATTAGGGCAAGGGATACAGAGAGAAAGGAGAGGGAGAGAGAGTGGAAAGGAGAGATGGAGGAGAAATAGAGTGAGAGAGAAAAGGTAAGAAGGGACAGATTGAGAAGTGAATAAGAAACAAATTAAGAGGTGAGGAAAAAAGATGAGAAGGGAGGGAGAGAGAGGGAAAGAGACAAAAAAGGGGGGGGGGGGAATAAATAGAGGGGGGGGAAGGGCGGTTGAAATAAAGTAGAGGAAAAATGAGGGGTAAAAAAAAGGAGGGGGGTTGAGGTACAGAGGAAGGATGGTGTGCAACAGTGCAAGAGAGAAAGAGAGCTGCACAAACAGGATGAAAAGAGCGATATAGAGAAAGGAAAAAGCGAGGGGAGAGAGAGAGACACGAGAGGGATATGAAGAGGGGCAGAGATAGAAAAAGAGGACAGACAGGTAATATAGAACAAGCAAGAAAGGGAGAATGAACAGGCAGAGAGAAGATTTGTGATTCTGCCCGTGGTATGACAGAGATGGATCAGAATGTTCATTAGGAGTGAGGAAGCCTGGGGAACATATTTCAAACTTCATATTAACATGTATATTAATTAGTCCATTCACTCTCTCCCGGCAAGAAGATGTTCAAGGGATTATTTTGGAACTGACAGGCCACCACTGTATTCCAGGAATAACACAGAATAATCATGTGTAATACAATATATGTATGCATGAGATATATATATATATA